AAGAGCGGGCGGTACAGGGCTCGTGGGACTGCGCCTGCATGCTCTCCTGCCCCCCTCCCTCCCCCAGAGCCCGCAGCGGCCTCCCCTGAGCCCAGACTTGGAGGATCCGCTGGGGGAGAGCTCGTCTCCGGGTGGGCTGAGGCCAGGGACGGTTGTTCCCTGGCACAGTGTTTTAAGAGCAGCGATCCACCAGGGCCGATGGCGGGCGGCCCTCTGACTCACCATGGTCGCAGCTCATCCTCCCAGGACCCAGGAGGGGACAGGGGCAGAAGCAGGCCTGCAGACCTGAAGCACCTTGCCTGGGCCTACAGAGCCAGCTGGGGGGTCCAGCCGGATTTACACAGAAGTCTGCCCATTTCCATACCTCGTGGTCTTTTTCCTGGTGCATTGCCTTTGCCTCTGAAAAAGTTACTTGAAAACTTAGACAGTCTTGCCAACTTCAGGGCTGCAGACTCTCCAGCTGTGGGATTGTCTAGTCTGGAATCTGAGATCCTGAAAGGGTAGTAGTGGTGACTAGTCCCAGCGCACACAGCCAGTTAGTCAGCTGATCTCGTCCTTGGAGCCCCTAGTTCAGTGCTCGCCCCAGCAGACTAAGTCCCCAGGTGTGAGTACCGTGCTGAGCAGCCCAGACTTGAACCTCTCAAAGCACCTTCTGTCTGTGAATGTAGCTGAGAGAAGGGGCCTCAGGTTGCCAAGTGCAGCCTTAGGGCCATTTCTCCTACAGGCCTGCGTTACCCTGCCTGTTGTTATGTATATTTGGGGAGACACCCGCTGTAGTTAAAAGTCATTTTTATTAACTCACCGTGGTGCTGGTTTTCTTAGCATCTGGTATCATGGCTCATCATGGGTCACCAAACATCACTAATGAAATTAGGGTTTTAATTCAGCCTCCGATTAAAGACACGTTTGCTTCTTCTCATCCACGTCTGGGTCACATCTTTCTGGTACGCAAACAATTTGGGGGGGCTGGGGAGGGGTCGGGGACGTCTGGCTCATACCTTTTCTTTACCTTCCTGGAAGTCGCCCTCACCTAACTTTTTCGCATTTGAAAAGGTTGTGACCGAGGGGTCCTGGAGGCGGACCTCCGCACCAGAGGAAGAGAGGCCGGAGGCTCAGAGGGTCCCCAGGAGGAGATGCGGACCCGGGAGGAGGTCAAGGCCCCGACCACTCTCTGACTACGGCCAGCCGGTCAGCCTAAGTGTGTCCATCCCTGAAGACGCGATCGCCGTAGACCCCCAGAAAGAGGACACAGAGGACGGTGACCACCAGCCCAGCAGGGCCCCCATCGACCCTGCAGACCAGACCCCTGCTGGGGGCTGCCCCCGGGGGGCGCCGAGAAGACGCCCCATCTCCGTGATCGGCGGGGTCGGCTTCTATGGGAGCAGCCAGGCAGAGGAGGGGGAGGCCATTCTGCCCCAAGTAAGCCCGGGCGCGCTGCCACCAAAGCCACTCAGCCCTCCAGCCGCCTGGCCTCTGTCCCCTGGCTGCAAACTTACCAGGAAACTTAACGCTTTCCTTTCTTCTCTCTGCCTCGAAGATGACGTCATCTGCTCACAGCCTTTCTTCCTGACTTTGAAAACATGCATGAATTAGAACTAACCCACTGACATTTGGATGTCTCTTACTAATCCTCTTTCTGGGATCTTGAATAATACGGGAAACTGGTTTGCTGTTTGTTCTGAATCGTCTGGGGAAAGTAGCCTTGCATATTTAGTGAGCTTCCTGAAAGAAGAAATCTGGAAAGAGAAAGTGTCGCTTATCCTTAAAATGTAAAGATACGAAAAAGATAAACCAGTTTTTTCCTAGAGATGAGAAAATAATTTTTTGTACCGTTTTTCTTACTCTTTGCATGTCAGTTGCAGCTTCGTAACTGTTTTGACAATAGATTAAAATCTTACTATTATTCCCTTAGTATACTTTAGTAATTCAACAAGTGTTTATCAATTACCCAGAGAGCCCTTTGAAGCTACAAAACATTTAAATAAAGGCCCTGTTCCGAAGGAGTTTCTATTATTCGGTGAGACTCATACCCCAGCCATGGTACAGGGTTCACAGAACCATGCATGACTAAGTGCCAGTTTCATTTTTTTTTTAAACTTGCTAGTTGATATCACAGATAGCCCATAAATTCTCTTAAAAGGGCAATTCTATATTGGTATTGGATTTTATGTTTACATTCTCCCTATAAGCCCAGCACAATGCTTATTTATAGCAAATACCCAAAAACCTTTTGCTTAATTGAACTAAAGTGAACTGAATTTTTAAGGTAAAAAATTATGTTGAAGAATACCTCAAACTTTTTTTTGTGTTAAGATGCTCTGCATGCTAGGAAATAATTCTGGAAGGTGGCTCTGCTCACCAGTGTATCACCAGTGCCACACAAGAAATAATTCTGAACGAAAGCAAACTGTAATCTATTTTAACTTGAAACACAGCCTAGGGGAGATCTAAAGCATTACAGACATTTTTTCATTTCAGAGCGTCCAGAAGAAATGGAGTAAGATAATTTTGTGCACTCTAAGCTCATTTAGGGAACTGGGTAGAAAAATACTGAGAAAACCTACGGAAAGCAGGGACCAACTTGGCCTTGAGTGTAGTTGTAGGGACAATTCAACTCTCCTCGTAGACAAGGCTCCACCGCCCTGTTAGTTTAGGTGAATGAGAACTGTGCTCCACAAACGCTGGTCCCTGCCTGCGGGTGGGTGTAGGGCGGAGGCCGGGGGTGGGGGTGGCTGGCGTTGCCTTTGCTTCCCTGGGAGTTGCTGGGCCGAGGGGGGGGCACCACTTCCTCCCCCAGCTTCCCCTGCTCCACGCTGGCCTTTCCTGAGTGTCCCCCAGGGGTGTGTTCTGGCAGGTGGCCAAAACGTGATGCCCTGAGGGGTCGGCACTGGGGTTTCCGGTTAGAGGAAGGTTGTCCTTGAGCTTGCGCAGTGGGCTGTGATCAGAGCCTCGAGGTGAGGATGCTGAGATCCCGGGGCCCCTACTTCCTGCCCCTTCTCACCGCCTCTCCTTTCCTTTGCAGCCAGCTGCCCGGCCGCCCGTGCCCGCGCACCAGGTGCCGCCCTACCGCGCGGTGTCGGCCCGGCTGCGGCCGTGCGCCTTCTCCCAGAGCACCCCCATCGGGCTGGACCGCGTGGGACGCCGGCGGCTCATGAGAGCATCCAACAGTGAGTGTCGCGGGCCTCCCTGGTCCGCTCCCGGAGATGGGGGTGGAGTCCTCCACCGGGCAGCTTCCATTCAACGGAGGCGCCCGGTCCATTGCGCCCCATCTGCCTGCCCTGGGCCAGGGGTGGGGAGGACCCACCGGGTGTCAGGAGCTGCCCCTGCAGGGGCCGGCTTATCGCCCCCTGTCCAGGGAGGGTGCCCTGTGGGCTCTGAGCCATCACGGTGACCCTGACCTTGAGAAGGTCTGGGGACCGAGTTCCTACCATGGAGGAATGAACTGACCGTGAATGGGCTCCCGGGGAGGATTTGTCTTAACCTGACTTTCAAAGCTCTTTCTGGGTGTTTGAGGTTCGTTCACCAGTACTGTTTGAGCAGCACGGAGGAGTTTTTTATCTGATAGAGTTGTTCATATGCTACCTTAGTCCTTACCCGGTAAATACCTGCTGACCTGAATTCATGGAATGATTCAGGTTCCTGAGGGAGCACGTTGACGTCCGAGCCCTGGCTGGACAGTGGCCTGGCCAGGCGCACGGGGCAGCAATAGGACGGGCACTTAACCGTGGGGCAGACGCCACCCCGCGTGCTCTGCTGCTTAGTTCCTCTGATCGCGTGAACCTCTGGCGCTTGCTGTTGTTATCCTCCTTTTACAGACCAGAAACCCCAAGGGTAAATAAGGGAGCCACCAACGATGTGGCAGAGAAGGGACTTGAATCTGCAGTCAGATAGAATTTTCACTGCAGGCCCATGTTTTTAACCACTGAACTGTACGACTCTAAAGAGACACAGCAGCCTGCCGACGACCAGACCTTCGGTTGCCAGGTTTACCGTCTTACCTTTGAAAAGCAGCATCGCGCGGCGCGTGTGAGTGATGGACGGGGCGCTCGGACGCCTGGGTTCTGGGCAGCGCTGCTGCCCACCGGCCGGTGGGCACGACCTCCATGTGACGGTGGGGACCGGAGCCGAGCCGCGACGACCAGACCTTCGGTTGCCAGGTTTACCGTCTTACCTTTGAAAAGCAGCATCGCGCGGCGCGTGTGAGTGATGGACGGGGCGCTCGGACGCCTGGGTTCTGGGCAGCGCTGCTGCCCACCGGCCGGTGGGCACGACCTCCATGTGACGGTGGTGACCGGAGCCGAGCCGCGAGAAGGGGCGGGATTTAAAGAGTGTTCTTTCCAGAGACTTGAAGGAGGCCGAGGGCATCACTCAGCATCTTTACATTTCAGGGAGAGGGAGTGGAGGGGGGACCACAGAGGGTGGAGAAGAGAAAGGGAACAGGTGGGGTGAGGCCCCAGTCATCCTCCCCCTGAAGAGGATGGAGGATGGAGATGGTGACGGGAAGGTCGCTGATGGACTGTGACCCAGAAATGGTGGCAGAGGGTGTCCTGGGAGGGCTGCGCCTGGTGCTCGGCGGTCAGGGAGTCGTGAACGGTGAGGGTGAGGAAATGTCGGTCCTCCACATGGTGCCGCCTGGCTTCTGCCTCAGGAGGAATCCGGGCTGAACTCTCGTCAGACAGGGTGAAAAGGAAAGAGGAACCAGGGGGCGGCTGGAGTTTTCGAGCATCTCTTGCTTTTGTGGTCCTCTCAGCCGAGCAGGTGGGGCCCCTGGGATCGCACTCCCCGCCCCCCCCAACCCCGTCCCGGGGCCTCTGCCCTCCGGCTCCCCCGCCACCTCCTCAGGCCAGGCTTCCGCCCACACTGGTCAGAGTTCCTGTTCAGTTCTTACTGCTGTTTCCCTGTGAGCTTTCCCCGGCGTCACTGGAATGGAGTCCCAGCCCCTTAAGCGAGTTTGCAGGCCCTCTGCCGCCTGCCCACCATGGTCTGCTGCTCTCGCCTCTCTTCCGGCACTCCCTCACCGCCCGGCTCTCCGCTCGCTCTGCCCAGATTCCCCTTCCTTCCCTTCACGTACGGCAACGTTCATTCCATTCCAAATTCAAAACTCGCTGCCCTGGGGACCCTTGGAGACAAATGCACCGTCATCTTTCTGCACAGCAGTTGCTTCTCTCCAGCCCAGTCATCAGCGTCTGGTGATGCATTTCGAGAAAGTTGTCCAAAAGGAGAGAAAAGGCTGCGAGCACACGATGCCTTCAAAATGTTACTTCTGATGGGAAAAAAGTTGAAACAATGGAAATGTCCACTTTCAGTGGGATAGTCTAGTGTCATATGGGTGACCACTTCAAAACAGTTTACAGCATCGTTAGGGAAAGCCCGTAACAACGTGGAAAATGACCGATGTAATATTAAAGTGAGAAAAAGGGAAATAATTTTGTATTAGTTTGCTAGGGCTGCCGTCACAAAGTACCACAAACCAGGTGCCTTAAACAGCAGGAATGAATTGTCTCAG